ATTCCAAGCGTATTTATAGCTTTCGTTTTCAATGGAAATCGTTGGTCGAGTATCGTCACGGTTAATAACGATGCTGCATCGTAGAGGGTACGTGTCTCGAATATCAATGATTCGCGTCTAGTTACGAATTACGTACAACGCGCTTCCATGTGAGTCATGTATTTGCGTGCAATTAGCGGAGAATTGCGCGAAACATCGCTGCACCCTCTGCACGCGGCTCCGTTGTGTTGCGTTTGTAGAGAACAACGTTTAATTCATGGTAAAGCTAAAACGACGGAAGGATGAAAGCAACTTAATCGCTGCTTTTCGCCGTATTAGAATTTCCTCGATGCCACCTACCAAGCTATTATTAGAAACGAAAATCCTTCTCTACGATGATTCTCGCAAATCGTTTTATGCGAAATACATTATGGAAAATTATAAGAAATTCATATTCAAAAAATGTATATCGCTACACTCAACAAATGAAAAAGAGATCTCGCGACCGAAGTAAAACTTCTAATTTTATCTTTCGATCAAAATAGATTCGCGAATCGAGGCGAAGAGTAACCTGTTCCTCTACGATGATTTATGCGAATCGTCTTATATGAAATACCATGAAGAATCATATGTGTGAACCCACACCTTGAAAAATATGCATTATTAGACTCGGCAAATGAAAAAGAAATCTCACAATTGAAGTAGATGCATAGATCGCAGCAAGAAATAATCTGTTCCAATTAAACGCATATTTTAATGTCTATATTTTCAAGCCACGCGTTTAATGTACATAGTATTTGATATCTTCAAGATATCATCCCTGAAGCAGAGATAAAGATAGAACGGTATCATCCACTAGAGAATTTTCGTTTCGAAAGCGTGGTCGATAGCGGTATCACGACTGGTTTCTCGACACAACTTTGACTTTTTTCCCCATTACGGAGCATCTCTTATGAGGAAATCGTACGAGCTTATCGAAGAATCCTACACGATAGATGCAGATTAGTATTGGACGCAGATTTGGTACAATTAAGAGCGGCGTATTCGTCGTGGGTAGAAGCGAGTCGAAATGAAACCGCAAAAGAGAACGGTGAAAGATGATCTACGACTAGGTCTTTCGCAGGGTGTATTATATCAAGGAAGACGAGACAGTGGGAAACTAAGGCAAGTGCGATCAGCATTTCGAGGCCGATAAATTACTATTTTTTTAGGCACTCTGCAGACGCTACGTTCTACATATGTTAGAAAACGTGTACTTATTTTTTTCTTCCTGAGACGCGAGCAAAGTGAATTTTATTGTACGAAGCACACATCTCTTGTCTGAGTATCCATTTGCTCGAGAGTTTTTACCCATTTCTACTGCCGCTTACAAAAAGTACTTCAAAGCGTGCAATCTGTAGTTATATATCTCTTTAAATTAAGGACCGAGCAATAATAATGCGTAAAAGCTTTCCTACAAATGTCCCATAAGTATATAGCAATAGCAGATGCGTTACAAAGGCCCAACTACGCGAATCGGAGATACAAAACGAATGTCTATAATTGGAGAAAATTCATCGTGACGTTATGAAATATGTATCTCAATTCCTTCAAATTTCATAAAACAGCAGTATCTTCACAGACGAACAAAACATCGTGCAAATTCCTGAAATTCCCTTCCGCAATTGCGATTTGAATCGAGTAAAATTCAACGATACAAATTGACTAAAGAGAGATTACGAATATAAAATGTTTCGCGTTAACTTTGGTCCTTAAGATAAAATAAGTTTCAACAAAATTTGTCGGGAGAAGTACGCAAATACAATATAATATTTTGCAAAAGTTTGATATCACAGCGTAGTATATCTGTTGCTCCCAAGGAAAAATATACAGAATTTGTGTGATAGTCGATACGTTAATAACGAATTAAATAACATACAGAGATTTTCGTATGCATTTGTAAGATCAGCTCGGTGAAAGAAGAAGAAGAAGAACGACAACAACAACAACGTGACACTTTCCAAATCGATCGAGAGCGAGCCCGACCATGGCAGTTATCTGTGGCAGATAAGTTGAAACGTGTAGGCGTCGCATGCATCAGAATCGACGATCGTCCGTGGGTCGTTTATTAAACGTAGGAGTTTGAACGATCGCGAGAAAAGGAAATTAAAGAACGATGTTATCACTGGGTACACTTGTTACTTTACTCTGATCATTAAGCCTGGAAATCAAAACGAACTAATCTTCGACGAGGTTGACACGCCATGCTAATATAGATGCTAGCTGCTGATCCAACGTCCCTGTTCTGCGTTTCTAGATACGAGATTTAAAACTCAAGTTTGACACACCTATGACAAACAGAGTAGCCGTATCGCGTTCAATCCGACCAATATTTAAATGTAGAATGTCTACCTCAACGCGTGAATATTTATGAATTAAATTCGCACGAAGGTTATAAATTATCTTCTTCCTCGAGGATTAATTACTAGCTTCATTCTTATATTTACCATCTCCGTTAATTGAGATTTACGTCTTAATTGGTGCATTATTATGTGGTATATCATGATAGAAAAATAAAAGTTTTTCCCTATCTTATGTGAAGATTTATGGTCAGAATTTCGAACTCACTTTGAAACGAACTCGTATAGAAGCTTAATTAACGTCTTCGATTTAATATGTTTCAATTCTTTTAAATTGTTAAGCATCTTCCTGTATAAACTATAGAACGCTAAGGGGAATTAATAAAATACAGATAATAACGTTATTTACGATTGTGTTCAACGTGTATTACAGGACGCGACGCGAGCAATATAAGATCGTTTATTTATTTAGCGACGAAGCCCAAAGAAACCGTTCGAGGTGCGCTTCGACAGAATGTTCGAGGAAGGTGCAAAGCCGACATGTAGGTGGACTGCACTTACGTGCATATCGTATACGTCTGATACGATAAAGAAATATATTTCTACGGATACGGTTGACACATTCGGCGGTAGGTGAAGCAGTATAGCGATCGCGTTAGAGTCACGCGTGGGAGCGCATCGCATACTTATGCTCGTCCAAGATCTTTCGAGGGATTTACTGGTCTTCTTAGTAGCTTCAACTCGTTCGAGATTTCCGTTCTTGTGTAGCAAACGCTTACTTTACTGACGGCACTGGAAGCAGTTCTGATCCGAACAACTATACTTATTCTGAGCTATATATACATACTGTGGAAGATCTTGAATTCGAAATTTTCAAGTTAAAGTCTTTGATAAATCACAGACTATCGGATAAAGAAATGTTTGTTCGTAGAAATAAATAATTGCGGTATGATATCACTGTTTAAAATCACTGAACCTTGGACATTGACTCGAACGATATTAACAATACGAGTGGAGGTTGACATTCCGACAAAAGAGGGAACATCGCGTGTCTGACAACCTGCAATCATCGTTGCAAGCGCGAAAGCTCGTTCCGTATCCTACGTTATGAAGCGAAAAGCTACGACAATGAAGGAGTCCTGAGATAGGTCCGAGAAAATTACCGTGTTGCCGCTTTACAGGCGGAATAATTTCTCTGGTATTACGCGTAGAAATGTTGCTCATCCACGCGTCCTTTACCCTTCTTTCTTCTCGTTTCCTCTTCGTAGTTTCTCGTCGAAATTTCTCGGTTACATCGTGAGAATCACGTTTACAATATTTCGAATTTCACGTTTTATCTTATGTCGTCCTACAATGAATTAACTCGTAATATTTCTAACGCTTATTATTTGTAATACTCGTAATGCTTGGAAGAAAGATACTTATGAAAATATCAAAGTCATTTAGGTTTGAAAATGAGTTTGTAAAATAACAAATTCACATTTTATAGTTGTATCTGTATTTCTATAGACACGTGAGATCTTTCAACCGATTATTTATCCTTTGAAATAAGTGAGTATGAAACAGTTGGTGACCACAATAAGAGCACCCCGTGGAGTAGAAGATGACCGTGTGATGTATACGTTCTGATGTTTGTTTATCCAGACACCGGATACATGGAATTTTCTCCTTCCCCGCGTATTCTCTTTCCTTCATTATTATTCCCATTCTTCTTACGAAAAGCGTCCAGAAAAATTGAAAGAGCAACGTGTAGGTCGCATTGTGGGTCAGCTCGCCTACGTCTTGGATACGAGGTTGGACGCTCATCCGACCATGTTACTTTACTAAGGGTACTTGATAGACTGGAATAAATAACTGCGGGAAGGAAATCGTGATAGGATATGACGTTTCTCTGTGTCATAGATAAAAAGAAATCTAATTGCTTTCCAAGCGATAGCGTAATCTTAATTACGTTTGGTATATACCCTGTTGATAAAAAAATTGCACGAGTCAAATAATTATGTCGAAGCAAATGAAAAAGGTTAAATTATGTCCAAGCCATTCTTTCGAAACTGCGAACCTTTATCGATACACGAGAGCTAAAGAAATCAGAAACCTTCTTCGTATCCAGACATATTTACAGCCGAGAGGATCATTTTACCGCAAGCGTAGAATTTTCGTCGCTTTCTATCTTTATGAAAATCAGTTTTTATTGTGGCTACTTGCTACGCATGGCCACTCGACGGAAGTAAAAAAAAAAATATGAATTATCGTCTCGCTATTGAGCACAGGAAGGAAAATTAGATGACCGAGATCGATAGGTGGGAAATAGCTGCCCGGCTGTAACACTCGACTCGTTATCCGAGTCCCATGTTCTGTTTCAAAAGCTTCCTGATAAAATTATTAGGACGTAGAAGATTCATAGGATGCGCTTGTCTGATTATTTCGCTGATCTCTTCAAACGTTTTAGGATAGAAGATAAACGAGATGAATATTATTTTATCTGTCATCGTTATTTTTTAAGCACGCTCAATTTTATTCGATACGCTTTATAATCATTTTTACGAGTAACGTTCGCTGTTTCTCATTACCCTGTGAATTTTTCTGTTACAGGCTCATGTAGTGTCCGCGTTCGAGCAATCTTTGTCCAACATGACACAACGTTTACAACAACTTACTGCAACGGCGGAAAAGAAAGTAAGCGCTCTATTACCGACCTAATAGTTTTCAACACTTTCTAAACGAGCATATAAAATCACCGATATAAAAACAATATCACATCGAATTCTATCGACTAAATTTGTACTTCAAATAGGAGTTTCATCGTAAAGGATCGCTATTCAAATATGAAGTCTCTAACGGTGCAACGATAGCATGAAATTTAAAGGGATGAACATTTCCACCTTGAACCATTGATTTTCCATATACAAAGATGCCATGAATCGCATACGACAGAAATGAACGATCATCTCCCTATACCTTTCCCCTATTTATAAGCTAACCTTCGTAGTTACGATTTCTCGAAAACCTGGCATCTTATTTCAAATTGTTAAGATGCACGCAAATCGAAACCTCGACCAAACGATTAATCGCTCGCTGTTTCCAAAATCGCCTCCAAATCAAAGACTAAATCGCCCAGGTGACTTGAAAATCATGCAATTATTATCCTCTTACCCTGATAATAAGATTAAGCTATTAAACGGTCTCACCATGATTCCCATCCCTGCAGAAGACGCAAAGGCTCTCGGTCTTCGAGTTCCAGATTCCGACAGCTTTAAATCAAATTCGACCTCGTTTAAAGGCCCCGCTCGCCTATCCAGCCCCAAGTCCACTAGAAAAAGATCGAACGACGATAGCAAACTTAAGAAAGACGTTAAGCGTCATCGAAATATAGACGTAAAAACGTCGAAGAAGCTACCGGATTTAAAGCAAGAACAAAAGGCTCAACGAACCGCTACGTTAGAAACGCTGAGTATTTTACACGCGAAATTGGAACGAGGGCTGAAAAATATTTCGAACAGGACGAAAGCGCGACCAAAATTTCATCCGGATACTCCAAGGGACTCCGGTACCCCAGCGAATTCAAGTCCGACCACGATACGCACATCCGGCCGTAAATCGACAATCGACGGTAAACTGAGAAAAAAATCGTCGACCTCCCAGGGAAACAAGCCAGACAAACTTAGGAAAGAATCGAGCTCAAAATCCACAAAACAATTGTTCAGCATGGCTGAATCGTGGAGCAGCGACTCCGTGGTCAGTCATTCGGATAACTGTGCCTGCTGTCACAGCCGAGAGCCTTGCCCCTTTCACGGAAGCGACTTCTACGGAAAATAAAACTACTCTGTTTGTTCTATCATCTGAGAAATTTCCATGCTTTACTAACGAATGCGCAAATAAGTCGATGTAGTTACTAGGAGATTACTAGGAGGACTACGACGAAGTTTGAAGAAAATCTCGTAATTTACTGTAAACCAAAGGTTAGAGTCCGAAGTGAAATTAAGTAACGAGTTGTGAAATAGATACAAATTTAGATGTTTTATTCGACTAATTATGCTGTCAAGTGCAAGATGCATTTTACTGTACAAAGTACGCTGGTATGATCGTCGGTGTAAGGATTATTTCTTATATTTTTTTAGATAGCGATACAATTATTCATTAAATCGCGTAGCTACCGTCGTAGTACAACTTGCATTCGTGTTGTTGAAAGATAGAAATAAAATATAAAAACAAACTGCATGCGTAATACTATCGCAGCTTCGTACAGTTATATGGAAGAAAAGGAAAGTTTCTTTTTTTTATGCTCCTTTCTCTAATATCGTTTCTATGTGTTCATAAATCTTTCGGTGCAACAATATATCACGAATCGCACAGTCACTCGTGACGCGCGTATTTACTCGAAACTTTCTTAACTTGTACAAGCGTACCAGCATTCTTTGCAAATCACCAGATAAAATCTGCGATCTGCGGTCGAGAAAAGAAAAAGCAATATTACTACAATTTACTTGTTAATTTCAGGATTCCGAACTTCAAGAATTAAGAGAAACTATCGAAAGGCTTCGCAAGCAAAGCGCGGAAGCTGGTTTAAACAACGGACCACCCGCGAACAACGGTCGCCGTCACACCCTCGGCGATTCCGATTCTGGGACGACAGGCTGCACTGGTAACAGCAACCATCAGGGTGCTTCGATGGCGAGACAGTTGTCCGCGGATAGTGTCACTTCGTTGAACTCGTTGAGCAGCGCCTGTTCGGCCAGCAGCCATCACAAGAAGAAAGGTTGGCTTCGTAGCTCGTTTTCAAAGGCTTTCTCGAGATCACGGAAGAACAGGCATGGCTCCGTTTCCGACGCCGAAGATTGCAAGGAGAGCGCTAGCGGAGACCTGAGCGCACCGAACAGCCCTAGATTGCCGAGCGCCTCCAAACACGACTCTTCCCGAGCTCAAGGTACTCGAAGTAACGGACAGAAATCACCCGAAGTGGAGAATCCATTGACCGGAAGCAAAAGCAGTTCGGCCTTGTATAAAAAAGAGGACGAAGACGTGGTGGAACTGAAGAAACAGCTCAGGGAAAAGGATCTTGTGTTAACAGATATTAGACTCGAGGCTCTGTCATCGGCGCATCAACTGGAATCGTTGAAAGATACTGTTATCAAGATGAGGGTAAACATATTTTTAATCTTGTGGAAAAATTCTTAGATTTTCAACTTTCTTGTACGACATGAAAGAATCAAATTTTCTTTACAGAACGAAATGCTTAATCTGAAGCAAAACAACGAGCGTCTGCAGAGATTAGTAACGTCAAAATCCTTAACATCCTCCCAGTCGTCACTGCCTAGCGATCCAGACAGACGTTTCAGCATGACAGAAGTAGCTTCCACTGTTGCTGCGCTTTCGAATGGCGATACCAGTACGACGGCAGACCAGTTAGAAGATTTAAATGTACCGGAACACCCAGTAGTCCCATCAACCACCTCAACTACAGGAGAACCAACTTTGGAACAAGATACGGATGGGAAAAGGATTAACGTTGCCATTTATCTAGGTAGCGAGAAAAATTTCAACTATAATCTCGTAACTGGAAGCACGTCGGATGGCAGCATCGGTGAACCTCCTCATTGTATTATCGCGAGCGTTTGCATCAGCAACAAAACTACATGGGACTCCCTTGATTCTACTGTAAGGCGATGCTTCAAGGAGTACGTTTCGAGAGTCGATCCTGTGACAAACTTGGGTCTGGGAGTTGAATGCGTCGCTGCTTATCACCTTGGAGAAGCTTCTAGGTATGTGTATTATAATAACTGTTTTTTCTTACCGATGTGTATACTGATATTTTATTTTATAAAAATACCCCGAAACACTTACACGTATATTTTTGTAATATCTTCTGATATAGGTGTACCACGGATTCCCAGCATCCAGAGTTACTTCCTTGCGGTTACTTGATCGGCCACGTGAAAACCATTTATCTGGTGCTTTCCGGTTACTCATGGCTGGCTGTGGATACTCTCATACCACGGTCCATTGTGCAGCGATTGATATCTCTGCTAACTGAACATCGTAGAGTCATTCTGTGCGGACCCAGTGGTACCGGCAAGAGTTATTTAGCTGGAAAATTAGCTCATGCGTTGGTCGATGCCGATAACGATACAAAGGATGCCACGGCGGTAGCCACGTTCAATGTGGACCACAAGTCCAGCAAAGAACTCAGGCAATATCTCGCGCATATCGCCGAAAGATGTGATTCAAACGCAGCTGACGAACTACCAAGAGTAATCATCCTCGAGAACTTGCAACACGCCGCATCTTTAGGAGAATTATTTAGTGGCCTGCTTGGTACTAGACATTCATCTTGTCCAGCTATTATTGGCACCATGAGTCAGGCCACTTGTAGTACCACGAATCTTCAGTTACATCACAATTTTAGGTACATCTTATCATCTAACTTACCCTTTAACGAGAGACAGCCCACTTGTCGTATATTTTTATTAGCGCTTCTTTTTTTTCTGCAACGAATATCTTATTTTCAGGTGGGTGCTTTGCGCTAATCACATGGAACCAGTTAAGGGATTCTTAGGACGTTATCTCAGGCGGAAGCTATTGGAACACGAGTTGCGTGAGTGCGGCGGAACTAGAAACGCAGAAATGGCAGCAGTTGTCGAATGGTTACCCCGGGTGTGGCTACATCTCAACAAGTTCCTAGAAACCCATAGCAGTTCCGATGTGACAATAGGTAAGATCATTAACAATATTTATACTCAGTTCAGTAATATCGGCTTCATCATAGACATATGAAATTAAACGTATAACTTCTAGGACCGCGACTATTTCTGTCCTGTCCGATGGAAGTAACGGGTTCTCAAGTATGGTTTACGGACTTATGGAACTACTCTGTAGTACCTTATCTGGTAGAAGCAGTCAGAGAAGGTTTAACACTTTACGGTAGACGCGTGAGTGGAAATGGAAATGGAGATTCATCCTGGGAAGACCCGGCTCAATTTATCACATCGAGTTATCCCTGGATTTCTACGCACGCGGTACACGGTGGTAGCGATGCTCTTCTTCGTTTACGACCTGAGGACGTTGGCTACGATGTTGTTACGTCTGGACACACTTCCGGAGTCGGCGCATCTAGTGTGAAAAGCCTTGGTAGCACACATAGCGATACAGAAGGAGATCCACTAGTTAGTATCTTCACTTTTAATAAATTTAACTCTTGAATGATACAACATGGAAATCAGTATTAGAAGTTCTACTTATTTATTAAGTTCGTTGAATATTATGTTTAGCGCTTCCTGAATCTCGTGATATGATAATTAATTAAAATTTCTCTTTGTTACAGCTGAATATGTTGATGAGGTTACAGGAAGCAGCCAATTATTCGAGTCCTCATAGCAACGACAGTGACTCGGTTACCTCCCTTGACTCGTCGCACACTCGACAGTCCGAAGATTTAAGTTCATCGACATCTTCGTCGAGAGGCGTAGAATCAGCACTTTAATTCAATTCTGCTCTCATTAATGAAAATGAAACACAACTTCTGAATATAATCGTGCATCAGGCCAGTTTGTAATATTCAGTTTGAAGAATAACAATTTATACCTATTTGGCCGTATGAGAATAAATGCATACGAAAATTTGAAATGAAAAAAAAGAAGGAAAAGAATCAAAAATAAATTTTGAATACCTTTAGGATATAAATCTTCTCTTTCTAACTTTTTACGACAAAAAAATATCAAATGTTAAACGATCGAGCTATAAGCGAGGACTAAGGTATTTTCAGCAGTGCGTGATATGATACTCTTTATAAAACATGTCCTTCCATTTGCTCTTACACAAGGCGACAATGTGCATTACAAATGAAATTAAAAATGTCGAGAAAAATTTTTCAATGCCTACAGCTGGCCTATATTTATTCTAGATCTTTATGTGCGTCATGCACTTCGGTGTGATATGTAATTAAATAAGTAAGAGACAAGCAAGCGATACTTCTATGTTCTTTGAATATACCGACGTATGAACGCATACGTCGTCACGCGATGCAATAATCTACGCTGCCGTTACGGAAGTACGAGTCTATTTTAAACAGATACATTTCTATGATCAAATCAAATACGATTAAGTGTAGCTTAACGCGAATCTACTCGAGAAATTTGGATGGAATATACAACAGTATTATCATAGGGCGTAAAAATAAAGGGCTTCGAACTGAGCCAAGATTTAGGATCGAGGAACCACCATTCCTCACGTCCACTACTTTCAGGTAATAGCTTATCGTATTCGATATACGGATCTCATGGACGGACCGCTCAACAGAGTATTGTTTCGCCTTCAGAAATACAGCGCAGTTCGAAGTGAGTATGTACTGATGGGTGTGCGTGCAAAAATAGTCTATTTATACATACTTTGCTACGAAATCTCTATTTAATTAAAAAATGTTAATATAATATATTATATATATACACACACAACCTAACGATGATGGCGCTAAATTTATGTTACGAATAAAGTTTATAATTAGCCAGTAAGATACGTGAGTAATATTCTGGTCATGTAACATTGTAAATACAAAATACGAATGGAATGTACGATGACGCTAGATGCAAATTTGATTCGAAGTCCCATAGTAGCCTGCAAGATCAATTTTGGTTATGGCGTGTAAAGTGTATAAAAGAAAAAAAAGACGGAAAGCAAAGGAATTGAATGCTTTATGTGCAATTTATCAGATTGCAACGTACCAACTGCCAGAAGCCAAAATAACAGAAAATAGCACAGGCTACGCCGAATATACATAGTGTACATGTTTGATAAACCTTGAAGTCGATTTCAGATTTCGATCAGTATCACAATGTCCATGAATACGATGTGCATGTAATAATTATACAGTCACATTTACAGGTTTTTTACGTTTGTACCGTATTTATACGCTGTACGACGCTGCACTGGACCTTTATCCAAATAACGATAATTATTGTGTCATCAAATAAATCACACTAAACTTCATATGGTTGGATTAATTCGACCGTTCTTTTTAACCAACTTCATCTTCCACATTGTACGGTAATCGTATGTACAATCCTTTACCTAGGTATTAATGATAAATTGAATGAAATTACATAGGCAAAGCTGTTTTATTTAGATCAAAGATATACATACACTGTACTTGTGCATAAATATGAAGTAATAAGAGTATTAAGTAGTAAATATAAATAATCCAGCAATATTTTACCAAGTCTTAAATTTCAACGAACTTTACTGGAATGACATTACAAAAGTATTGTTTGCACCTATATCATTTATAAAATATGAATGTGTTCCTAACATCTTAAGCATTAAAGTTCATACTAAATATTGGATAAAATATATACATATATATATATATATGTATATATTTTATCCAATATATATATATATATATATATATAGGCTACCGATGGTCTAAAATAACGTTGGAAGCATACTTCTTATTTTTCAAACAATATTCTACAACTGCATAAATAGTAAGTAGTCTTCTATCCATGGCACTTAAATGAGCTTCTGTAATAAGGGGTTGAACACCAGCCATTACGGATTCATGAGCAGCAAGTCTTGCAAGAGCTATGCTTAATGTACCACCACTAAATAATTTCAAACGATCCCATGTAGTTTTGTGAATCCTAAAATGAAAGTAGAGTTAATAATTCTGAAAAACTTAGAACTTTAATGAAGACATTGCACTTTTTATTATAAATAAACAAGATTAATACATATATAAATACGCACATACAACACTGATACAAAGGTGCTAAAATATCAAAATGATCTACATCAGGATTTCCAAGACTTTTCCCATTATCAATTAACAACACAGCTGGATTATGAAAATTATTCTGTGCTAATTCGTAATGATGACGATCACCATTATCCATCAAAAAGTCAAAAATCGCAGTATCTACTAAATCTAAAAGCCTGCTCGACGATTGCGGAGAATATGCTTTAGTGTCTTTCACCTAAAAAATCGAATATTTCCATGTTATTATCGAGAAAAAAGAAAGAGAAAAATAGACTTGTTGTATACGTTTATCTAATAGACTTACTTTTTCACAATAGTTATCATCTGTTTCCCATGCTGCAAGCTTGTTTTTTTTATATGTCCTTTGCCATGGATGACGATGTTTTACAAGTCTTAGATATCGTGGTAACCAAGAAATTAAAGCACCTTCTAAAATATCTCCTACTCCACACACTGGATCCACGGGAGAGCAATAATGACAAACACCATACAAACAAGTATCATTACCATCTTGATACATAGTAGCATAAAGTTCAGGAGTTGCACGAGGCCGAATTTCATTCCTTAAGTCAACTAAAAAGATTTAATACAAAATAGTAAAATGTTTTGCACGCAATCTATATAAAATTATATATATATAAATTTTTACTAGAATTTCTATAGGAATATACGTTTTCTTATAACAGTAAGCGGCACTCTTCTTAAGGCCAGTAAGGAAGATAAATAGAACGCTACTACTTCGGCATTGTGTCGATCTTTTCCATGATAAACAGGTCCTCGAATAATAGCGTCCCTAGAATACCATTGAGGCTTGAACATCGCCTTCGTTCCGTGTTCTAAAGTTAGCATCAATTTCAATTGCGTACCAAGTGGTGCGTTATCTGCACGCATCACTTTTGATTTACGCAAGATATCTAAAATTGTTCCTAATTCAGGCGCAACCGGTGGTATTAACTGATGGGCATCAGGCCACTAAAAATATCAATTATTAAAAATAATTTACAATAAAAAAGATATTCTATATTATTCGTTCTAGACACATCTCGATACAATACTAACATTATTGTTAGGTATACTCCATATATTTTTTTGAACAGCATTAGGCATTATCCTTAATTCAGTAAATAATCTTTCCAATACTATTACGTAGCTAGTATTTTGCTTAAAATATCTTGACGGTAATAACTGTATCTCCTCTTTAATCTTTTTTATCATATCTTTCGCAACTGATTTTTGCGAAACTTGTAAATTTTGTTCCGCTTGAGATATTAACTGTTCCTGTTCCGGCTTTAATTGTGAAATAGGCATGCCTTTAGAAGAAGTTTTGTGCGACGAGCTCTCTACAATCATTCGAATAAAATATACATTGACGCTAAGGACAAGAATCAAAAGACCGCCCAAAGCGATGAGAGCACAGCGTCGGCCAATCATCTGTGAACAAAATGTCAATTGAATAAACGTAACATAGATGGCGCACTACAGGTTTACTTGAATATTATAACAGGGCGACTATATGGCTTGAAGATCAATCTATACTTACGCCATTTTTGTTCTTGTGAATTCTTTTTCAATATAATTTCCTAACATATAATAAACATTTTAATGCATGTATGTACTAAAAGGAGTCTGGGAAGACTAAACTGATTAATATCGATAATACAAAAATCAATTTTCTAAATCAAATGTAACGATTTTATCTAAGAGATTCTATGAAACAAGTGTTAAAATACTGTAACATGTAACATAACGACACAGTTTTAACGAAGCTGTACATATATGAGTTACGAATTGAATTCAAAGAATACTGAAAAGCTGTTTTGTAAAGAAAAACATCTATTTATATCACCTTTGAAAATTGGCCACGCAGTTGCTGTCACCTGATAATAAATATTTCCTTCATGTTTTGATGAAACCTCTGCTTAGTCGCATCCAACTATGATGGGACGGCAAGTATGCGTCGCCATTTTTAACTTCAAACCAAAGTACTCACGCGCCGTAAAGCACTGTATTAGTATCAGAAATTGTTGTGAATGAACATTAATTTAAAAGATAATAAAAAATATCGATTTTATAGCATTCTTTAATTTTGGAAACATAAATACAATTTGTTACATTACACATATATTAAGAAGAAATCCATTTGAAACATTTTCTGTAATTATATACATATACGTTCGTATATACATTTACGAAAAAATTATATTACATATGCAGGATAAGGAATTGTAAAACAATAGTTATAATCTTGGATTTATTTTATAAAAACATGTAAACTACACGGTGAATATAATCGAATTAAATTTAGGCTATACTTCAAATGAAGTAATCCGTTCAAAACGCGGTGGTGTTCGCATGGCTCGGCTCTAAATCGTTTTCATTTCTATAGTTACACTCGTACAAACATTTATATCGATATATACATTCCAGAGTATATTTTTATTCTCTTCGTTGTCTTTCCCTTTCACGAGCAAGTTCTGTTGCATAATCATAGGGTGATCCTCTTCTGTAATTAGCAAGCAATTAGAAGTCTATAACTAAAAATATATTTTAAAAAAAGCACATATACCTGCCTATGACGATCTTTATCACGATAACGATCTTTACTTCTATCTCTATGTGATCTGTCTCTGCTACGACTTCTATGTTCTCTTTGTCTCCGACTTCGATCACGGCTGTTTGATCGTCTGCAATGTCGATCCCTTTCTCGATCTCTTTCTCGGACACGTTCTCGTTCTCTTTCCCTTATACGATCTCGCTCACGATCCCGGTCTCTGTATTTGTCCTTGCGGTCTTCATCAGATCTAGAAAAACATTATTCAAAGGGAAGTAATGCGGAATAACGAATAACGTTTTTAAAATATCAGCCTGTACAAGTGCATACATATGTTGCACTTATTTACAATGGAAGATACCAAGAAATTATTCATCTTAAACACCTCGATATTACATATTTGTGTAAACTTTAGTGTTGATAGATATTTAAAAATCTTGCATTCCTTGATATCCAATACAAAAAGATTAGTGTACAGTTATTGAGATAATGAATATCGAGATGACTTCTAAAAAATTCGAAATTATGTAACTTATGAATGTTGCTCTTGCAAAGAAATTCAGTAAATTCAATATTCAGAATCTAAATAGCACATATAAGTATAAAAACAAGTTCATTGCACTAAATTTATAAAGCCAGCGAATAACTGTACAAGAATCAAATAAGAACATACACATGTACTAAAGAAAACTGAATGATGATACACTGAGATCAAGAGTATTTTCCAGGAGATGGTACGTCTTTAATCTTCACCCAATTTTCCTAACAAGTTCATAGAATATTATTAACCTTATACAAATTAGTAACGTGATTGTATTCATACCACGTAGACGCACCTGGCTCGCCAGTGACTTGTTCTTTCAGCCTCACCCCACTGAGCTTCGCTATCTGGTATATGCCGTGGTTGATTCCTTGAGGTGAGATTGCCGTTATCTTTCCTACTACTGCTATTACTATATTTTCCATGACTATTTAGGGTAATAGGTGGCTTTGCATTTCGGGCATTCATAGATTGTTGTGGAAACCTTTCTGCTAATCGATGTTCGAGTTCTTTTTGTATAGGCACTGGTATTCTTGGAAATAACGTTGAAAACCACTCTAATTTAGTAAGAAATTGTTTGAGAATATCACCCATCTTCATTACTTGTCCTCCACCAGCTTTTACATCTAACTCATCTTCATCTTCTAAGTAATCACTATACCAACTAAATAAATCTGCAGGTGGTTGTGTATATCTGTTAACACCAATAATAATATATGTACAATACATCAAATTATTAGAACATTTCTTTAAAGTAAAATCTAATATCATAATATTCTTACCTAATATACATAAATCCTAATGCCCGAATATATGGTGAATCAAGGTGATTGATAAGACCATTTAATTGTTTCCGTGTTAACCTCAAGGTGAAGAGTTTATATAGTAGACAATAAGCCGTTGAGACAATTCCACCAGCACCGACTCCTCGGACCTGCATGAACCGCTAAATTTACACCCCCCTATGTCAATCAATCACATTCATATTATATTATAATTTATTGACCGAGAACATGCTACTCTGCAATTAACTGTGGTATTAAGTGAGACTGTCTGCTCAATGTTTACATTCAGACCAGTTCCAGCCCAATATTTTGATACTGATGCCTGATTATTTAATAGCAGTGAAAGTCTAAAACATTTAGAACTTTCACTTTGAATGATTTACTCTAATTACTTCCACCTTCTTTGTTTTTAATAGCAGTTCTCATTTCATAGAACATCCAGGTCCTTTAAAGTGCTATAAATTTGGACTGTTTCTATACACGTGGTAATATCTCTATGATTGCCAGTTTTATGTCAATAAATAACAATTAAAAATGAACGATGTACAAGAAAACATACTCACACCTCCACACATGCCAGTCTGCCCTGCTGTTTTTCTGCTTCCTTTCTCCCATGGTTCCAAATGAGACACCTTATAGTAAATTTCATCGATAACCTCATGGTATGTTTTCAGTTCATATAAATTCACTTTAAAATAATGTGACGATTGTATATTGGTTAAAATTAGTGGATTTAAATTCATAGTTCTTTCATTTCCCCATAGAGGTAATATATTCGATTTTTTACCCTCCTTTTGAGTTGGACGACGTTCTTCATCGCAACCACTGGAATTGTTCCATGGTGAACCTATGTACAAATGTTTCATTTATGTATCTGCCGAATCACGTAATAGTAATAGTAATCAACATACATAGATACTGGTGAAATAGAGGTTAAGTGTATCGTAATGATCAGAACGGGCCACAAAATACCTCGTCTCTTCGTCAAACATTATAAAAATAAGGAATTAAAAAAAGAACACAAAAATACAATATATATTTGCTTACCATCAGCTCCTTCCGCCTCTTGCACTTGCATGTTTGTTTCGTAAACTTACAAGTCTTACAATGAACTGAATAGAACAAATTCACCATACAACCACACACCACGTTACGTTTCACAAAAGGTTTACAAAGTTCATAAATACAACAAAGAATAAATGTTTTTATATGTTGAAAATAATTAAATACAAGTTTTAAAAGCTCGCATAACGCTTTTTTCTGCAAGTATATGGAAAACTGACGTCAACGGGAAGCGAAAAAAAAAGATACAGTACTGTAATGCGCATGCCTACAAAATGGCCTACAAAACATCCGGTTTCATTCGCATGGTATTATTCTCATTTATAATTACACAAGTAATTTAAGTAACCAAATTGTCCTTTGTTGGTTCTTCAGTCTCTGAGTAGATCGTCATAAAAAATGACTGAAATTTAATCATATAATAATTTTTGTAGATCTTAATGAACGGACATTGTGATAAAATAGATATTGTATGTACCTATTGCAAATGATATTTCAATATTTTAAACCATGATCGCGTGTTTTAAACTACACGTGAAATTACACAAGGAACATCGGGATCTTCAAACACAATATTTATAATTAAATTATTTTGTAACCCTCTATTACAAAAATACAATAAACTACATTTAGTTTGTACTTAATATACGTATTTTCTAAACTTCTTTTAATATAAAAAACGAACGTGTGATCTAAAGATTACATGTTATATTTGAAATGCGATAACAAAAGAGTAACACTTTCCCTAGAAAACATATTGTTACTAGAATGCGGTAATACAGGCCACATACTAGGCAATATTTACAAATTCAAAATTAATATTTTAATAAATTTAATAAATAACATGTTTTAGATTTGTTCATGAAATACTTTTTCATTGAAAATATATTTCATTAAAAATTATATTTAATTTAGCATGATAATATTGGATTGGCAACTAAGTGATTGCGGATTTTGTCAATAGGTGGTCTTAGCACATTCTTTTGTTTTGTCAATGCTTCAAAGCACCTAACCTATATTGTTTTCTTGTTGTTTGGACTTCCACCTTTAATTTAGTAAAAAAATTGTATCGATTGGTTATTTAGTTTCGTTTTTATGCCAATTTAAAAATGAAGGAACAAGACGTGCATTTCAGACATATTTTATTGTATTATTTCCGAAAAGGCAAGAATGCATCGCAAGCACATAAAAAGTTATGTGCCGTATATGGGAATGAAGCTTTGAAAGAAAGGCAGTGTCAAAATTGGTTTGCCAAATTTCGTTCTGGTGATTTTTCAGTGAAAAATGCTCAACGATCTGGCCGCCCAGTTGAAGTTGATGAGAGCCATATTAAGGCTATTATCGATTCAGATCGTCATAGTACAACGCGTGAGATTGCAGAGAAGCTCAATGTATCGCATACATGCATTCAAAAAAAATTAAAACAGCTTGGCCATGTCAAGAAACTCGATTTATCGGTCCCTCATCAGCTTAAGGAAATTCATTTGATGCAACGCATTAGCATCTGCGATTCACTTCTGAGACGCAACGAAATTGATCCATTTCTGAAACGACTGATTACTGGCGACGAAAAGTGGATAGTTTATACAGCCCAGGCGACACCAGAAGCTGAGATTCACCAAGAAAAGATTATGCTGTCAGTTTGGTGGGATTATAAAGGAATTCTGTACTTTGAACTTTTACCAAGAAATCAAATGATTAATTCAAACGAGTACGTTCAACAACTTGTCAAACTAAGCGATGCAGTTCAAAAAATGCGGCCAGAATTGGCAAATTGTAAGGGTGTCATTTTCCAGCATGATAATGCAAACCTCTACACATCTTTGGTCGCTCGTAAATTATTGGAACTAGGTTGGGATGTGTTGTCACATCCACCAAATAGCCCTGACCTTGCACCTTCAGATTACCATTTATTTCATTCCATGCAGAACTCCTTAAATAGTACAATTTTTAATGACGCTGATGATGTAAAATCACATTTAATTCAGTTTTTTGCTGGCAAAGATCAGAAGTTTTATGAAGATGGAATTATGAAACTGCCTGAAAGATGGCAAAAGGTCATCGACAAAAACGGACAATATCTAATTGAATAAAGTTATATTTTTAAACAAAAATTTTGAATTTTCCTTCATATTTAAAATACGCAATCACTTAGTTGTCAATCTAATAGTTAACAAACATTACATTGCATATATGTAGTTTATGGCGCTGTATCAAAATTATTGTTAAATATAGAAATGAAGATATTGTAATTTTTATTTGTAATATATTAATATAAACATAAAAGTTAATTATAAAGTTGTACAAATTATTATATTAAAATGTATGTATAAAAGTTTCTATAGAATTTTTTATTTTATATTATAGAAGTAAGCAGATGAATAAATAACTGTATGACGGACAGCTGAGTTTGTTTACCACGTGATACTTGATATGTATATGACACGTTTTTAAAACGTCAATGTTACGTTCATTCTTATATGATTTTTAATAATTGTGTTGATTCTATGATAAATAAATTGTCTTTTAATATGTTCGTAATATCTAATTCGTACCGAAAAGTACATTTTTGCAGAATGTTACTCATGGCATACAATTTATAACTGTTTTTCGGAATAAACATGTAGGTTATTTTGAATATTTGTCGTAAAGAATAGTTCATATGTTAATATATATTACAATAACACGATAAGTTATATAATCGTAAAACAAAATATCAAAATTATAATAACAATCATGTTAAAATTTAATCGATGTAACAAGAAATTTAAGCACATATACTGCATACCTTATTGGGAATTTATGCAGATAAAAAGATTCACACATCAACGTGATATAAAGGTAAAAAACGTATATTTTCTATTACATCTATGTAACATTAGTCCTATGTGTTTTGGTATGAAAATTACATTCAGACATTTACTAGTGTTTTCAAATTCCTTATGAATACATTCATTCTTCAATGTAATTATAATAAAAATTTCTGTTTAAGTATAGAATTATCTATGATTATAATTATTATGTATATATATGTTTAGTAAAATATATATACATTGAATCTCTTCAATTAAAATGTTACTTGACATAAATAATCTATATACTCTTTATTGTACTTCAAGAAATGGTATCAAACGTTAGAAGTTGCAGAAGATTGCGAAGATGAGACACTAAGATTAGCATTTGTTTATCAAGCAAAGAGATTCCATCCAGACAGTGGTACATCAGAAGCTAATGCAGCCAAGTTTTCTGAGGTATGAGATATCTTGTATTACTAATAAAGATCATTTAATATTGCGAGTTATAATACACTTGTAATATAATTTTTCACAGATTGAAACTGCTTATAGACAGATTCGTAAAGCAAGAATAGAAGATAAAGAAAAGAGCACAAACTTACCTGAAGTGGAAGAATTTGATATTAAAGTATATATGCAACATTAAACAATATATATATTACATATTATTTTTTTCCTGATCTAATATATATATATTCATGTTTTAGCATACAGCTCCACAGCATCGTCATTATTTAGTTTATAACATAGGAGTTGGAACACATAGCAAAAGACAAAAGTTATATACAATAGAAAGAGCTCAAAAGGCGGTTGACAATGTATTAGAACATAGATTAAAAAAATTACAAGCTGAAGAACGTAATACATTAGTTGGAATGGATAAACAACGTGCCAAAGATATTAAAACACGTTTTGGTATGGATCGTTTAGTAGAAGATTTAATTCAAGAAGCAATGAATAAAGGTGAATTTAAAGATCTACCAGGCATGGGTAAACCATTGAAAGAAAATACAAATACTCGAAGTCCATATGTTGATTTTGTTACTTACAAATTAAATGAGGTATGATAAATTAATATAAATTAGAAATTTACAATAAATTATATGCAGAATATTAAATTGTAGATACTAATAGAAAATGGATTTACTCCAGAATGGATACAATTATCTAAAGAAATAAGAGAAGAAATACAACATTTGCGGAAACAATTAATAAACGCCCGTAATAATGTGGGAGATCTCCCATTAAATTACACAGATGAAGAAACTTGGAGGAACATTGTAGAAAATTTTAGGTCTGAAACAAAACGAATAAATAGTAAAATCGATAAGTATAATTTATTAGTACCTATACTTCAGAAACAAATGCTTCATACTAAATTAGAAGATCTTGCAAACGAGGCACTTTCAACACCACCACAAAAAACAATTAAAATAGATAATTCAATAAAAGTACATTCTAATGCTCCTATCAAAGAGGAAGACACTTTATTTGGAATGATATTTTCAATTTTTAAATAAGAAAGTATCATAGAAAACATACTGTTTTATTGTATTACATTATTTTACTACATTTCTTTTAAAAAATCTTGATACTTCTATACTGATTTACTACTATTGATAGAAAATTTAATATATATATACAAATTAAAAAAATATATATATATTATATATAAATGTACCAAATGATACATAAAATAATTACATAATATCTTGAGTTCAATAATTCCATGTAATGGAATTATCTTCGTTTAACTGTATCCTTCCCGTAGCTAAATGTTTTAGAGCTAGTGGGAAGATACAATGTTCAACCATCTTCACTCGCTCTTGAAGAGTTTCTATAGTATCATGTGGCAGTACAGGTACTGCTGCTTGTTCAATGATTGCTCCAGAATCTATATCGGGCTGAAAATTATTTTTAATAATATAAAAGAATTCTTTAATGTAAAGAAAAATTTCTGATATAACATATATCATACTTCCACGAAATGCACTGTACATCCAGAAACACGTACTCCAGCTGCTAAAACATCTCTATGTGCATGTGCACCTTTAAATGATGGTAATAATGAAGGATGCACATTTATTAAGGCACCACGCCATTGATTTACGAAATTATCTGATAAAATGCGCATGAAACCAGCAAGACAGACTATTTCAACTCCAAAAGCATTGAGTTCAACATTCATTGCTGCATCGAATGCGTCTCGATTAGGATAATCCGTATGTTTAATAACCTATGATCACATATTGAAATGATTTATGGATGAAAGGTAAAGAAATGTACAAAATTTTAAAAACAACAATTACCACTGTCTTAATACCAGCTTTTTCAGCTCGTTTAAGTCCTTCAACATTTGGTTTATTAGATATTACTATAACAATTTCTGCACCAATATGTTGAGATCGATCTTTAGTTGCATCAATTAGTGATTGTAAATTGGTTCCGCTACCGGATATCAAAACACCCACTTTTTTTAAAGGCTTACTTAATTGTGAAATTATATCTGGTATGTATTGTCTCATTTTCAATTCTAACGCTTCCTCAAAATTTTTAACGTGTATTCTAGTCTGATTTTCTGCAATATTTAATGTGTATAAATGTAAATAAAAGTATTTTTGATAAAATAATTTTAAATGGAGCTTACTTTTATAATTAATTATATGTCCAATAATCTTAGCATTTTCTATTTGTAATTTACTTAACACTTTGTCTTTATCTCTTTCCGAACAAATTAGGATAGCTCCAATGCCACAATTAAACGTTCTTAACATTTCTTCTTTATTAACTTCTCCTATGAAATATATAGATATTTTAAAATATATATAAGGATAAAATAAATTT